CTTCCATCCCCTACTACTTTTCTAGCCATTGATTTCATGTTTAGTTAATTTAATGCTCCAGATATTGCCACCTCACCAACAACTCCAAATCATCTTTAAACCTTTCCAGCTAGATTTGTAACCTCTGCAAGTGCCTTCCTCCATCTCTTCATCATGTCGGGGGTTCAGTTTTCCGGTGTCTAGCAAATGACTCGGCAAAGCTTCCCGTTTGCTTCCTCGCATGGGACGGATCAAATCAAAATTCAAGCATGTTAAAGCAACAGAAAATTGAAAGAAATTAAACCCAAAAAAATAGAGGGAAAAATCTCAAAAAGGTACTTGCGTTTAGAGGCTAAGGAAGCAGAATAAGAGGAAAGCTTGGACCTTTGGAGATGAAACTTGACGAATTAATAATTTTTTAAATTAACAAAATTAAAAAAAAAATTAGGAATTTGGGATTTTATTTAGGTCACCCGCCAACGAACAAACCCTCAGAGATTTCAGTGTAAGGAGCATCCCTACTATGCAACCTCCGCAATGTCGAGAAGAATCGGACGAAATACAAATAGGGGTTGAACATTATAATTTATAATCGACCAAGTGGGGAAACTCCCATCTGGGTTCTTCCCCAACAGCATGGGAAGGTCTATCAATGGATGAGCAGCAAGTGAAACCAAAGCTGAAACCAAAGAGGCATACAAAAAATGGTATGGAAAGCACTATGAAACAAGAGCTTTTGAGGCATGTAAACAACGCGAAATATAATGTTGCCATCACCCTATCAGAACCGATACACCAACCATCTTTGCTCCACTACTGAGTACCCCAAATGTGCCTGCCAGGTGCTTGATGGAAGTCCTCAGAGAGGCCAAGGGCAGAATCTATGGAGTTTTTTTACAGTGGGTAGGGGTAGGGCGGAGCCAGAAATTTCTTCTAGTGGGGGCAACCGAAAATAATTAAGAAAACCTTATTATAGTATGGTTATACGCATATGATATTAAAGATGATTTCTAATGATGATGTATCACAATTATAATGTTACAAAAAATTCAATATAGTAGTGAAAAGTGACAAAGTGATGAGAAAAATATAAGTACATGATAGACGAGAGAGGGTTTTTTCGGTTTGAATGACAGAACAAGAGTACTATTGCTCATATAATATTTGATACGAAGTATAAGTAGAATTAAAGTATGTTGGATATTAGATACATATATTTTCTTCAAAGATAACCCGTGTATATTATATAATTGTAGTCTGCAACTAAACAAACAAATTACTTGAGTAGGGGCATCTGCCTCCAGTGAGCCTTTATTGGCTCCGTCCATGGGTAGGGGATCAGCCTACCGGTCTTCTACGATGTTGATCCGTCCTATGTGAGGAAGCAGACGGGAAGTTTTGCCAAGGCATTTGCTAGACACCAGAAAACTGAACCCCCCGACATGATGGAGATATGGAGGAAGGCACAGGTTGTAGATCTAGCTGGAAAGGTTTAAAGATGGTTTGGAGTTGTTGGTGAGGTGGCAAAATCTGGAGCATTAAAGTAACTAAACATGAAATCAATGGTTAGAAAAGTAGGAGGGGATGGAAGGGGATGGTAAGTGGGAGGGCAGACAAGCTTTGAATATGGATAAGATGTTGGAGAATCCGGATCAATTGGTTTAATTTAGCAAAGAAATATAAAATATTGGAAAAAGAAGATCTTCGCAAACCATATATATCTCTACCCTTTCATACTTAGAGTAAAGGGTACTTTTTTAGACACCGCTAAACTAGTTATCCCCACTCCTTTTTTTTTTCCTTTCTTAAAAAGAAAATTAAGAAATGACGTAATAAAAATAACAATTAACAACCTTTTGATTATTTGCATTTGATAAATTTCAGGCTTTTTAAGATTGCAAATCGATATGAGTGATCTTTGAATTTGTTCACTGTCAATCATTTTAGTCACTTAGTGAAAAATCTTTGTTAAATAAAAAGCAAGTGGAGATGTTGATTGGACAAAAATACCTTAATATAATGGAGATTTCTCACGAAATGACTAAAATGAGTGACGGTGGACAAATTCAGGGGCCGTTTCTATTGATTTTCAACCAAAGTAAAGAGTTATGTCAATCTCAGATATCATTTTGGCTAAAAACCTAAACTCCACTTGCATTTGATGAAAGGATGCTTTAATCCATCAAGGAGTAAGATTTAAATTGACAAAACCAAGACCTACTTGATAAATGTAAGAGATATTCAATGAGTGAAGTTAAGGGTACCGTAAGGCATATGTTGATTTGATCACAAACATTATGCTTTTCTTTTTTTCCAAGAAATACAAATATACTTGTCTTAAGTTTTTCCAAATCCTTTGAAATTCCATACTTTCTTGCATTCACTCTCTTCTTTTCTCAAATTTTTATTTTCTACTCTAAGATAATTATGAGTTTAGAGTCTTTAGACTAATTAATTCCAAGTTAGTTAGAGCCTATACAAAACAAAAGCATATAATATTGTCAATTTTCCAATCTTTACAACTTTGATAAAAATAAACCCAAAACATACATGTCCAAAAGCTATTTGACATAAATTATTCTTATTGGAAATGAGTGCTAGCAGTGACAAGAGTACATGTTTTCCTTAATGTCAAAGATAACTTCAAATAGGAAAATCTCACTACTATAATTGTTAAACAGAATCACAAAACATTGTGTTTTAAGTAAAAAATGTTTTGGTCGACGTCACTCACCAAACACTCTCTTTTCTATAATCATTTATATATTATTCGTAAATGAAAAGTTTCATATTTGACTTTTGTGATTGACAAGTTTGATATCTTAATATAATTCTTATCAGATAATTTAGCCAAATTCTCAACTCTAATGCACATGCAAATAAAAAAAATACTTGGCTCGTAAGTCAATTGAGCGTGTGCATTAATTTGCTAAGCTTCTTTTTATTGCATAATGAAAATTTCCTCTTATTTTAAGAGCCAAACAGAGTTCTACAAGTAATATGATATTAATTGATTTGCTCTCGAAACAGCCATTTAGTCACGAGGATCCTTTATGGATTCTTTTTATGAGGATTTCGAAGATTTATAAATCGTATTTATTCATCATATATCGTGTGATCAGTTTTCGTCAGATACTATTTATATTCAATTTTAAATAAAATAAAATAAAATGATTTATGACCACACGATGTACGATAAACGAACATGATTTATGGATCTCCGGGATCCTCAAAAAGAGGATCTTCATTCTCAATTTACCTCCTGAAATCAGTTTTGTCTCACTTTGTCCTATGAAACTGCCATTTTTGTCTCATGTTTTTATATTAACACCCCACAAAATGTTGAATGCACCCCACATTAAAATTTAATATTAAATGACTTATTTACTCTACTATGCAATGACAATTTTGACCTTATTAGGTTTTAAAAAAAATAAAGATTTATAAATACACCCCAAATCACTTTTAGCGTATTATTTATCTTCTCAACTATCAAACATGTTGATTAAGAAAAATTGTTTTTGACGAATGGAACACGAAATCGATGTTTCAGAAGCTTCACAGGAGGTAAGACTTCATAGTTTTCATTGTTTTAGTGATTTCGATGACATCAATAATTATTTAATCTTGCGTTTGCTGCATTATTTAAACTTCTATATTCATATTCATCTTTTAGTGTTCATATGGTTAGATTCAATCCTTGAAAATTAAAAATGAGTGTTATAAGATTTGAGAAATGTGGGGTGTAAAGAAAATGTGGGGTGTATGTACAAAATATAAGATGTATATTGAGAATGTGGGGTGTGGGGGTATTATGGGAAAGTAAGTGGGGTGTATTAAGATAATTTTTAAGTGAAAAAACAAATGTGGGGTGTATTAAGTTTGTGGGGTTTATTCAACAATTTGTGGGGTGTTAATATAATTAGCCTTAGATTAATGGTAGACAAACATTTTATTCTTGACACAATTCAGGAATGAACCATATCGATCTGACGGTTTCAAGGAAAGAGGGAAGGTGAACCGCTAAAACAATCTCAATTTCATTTTTGACAACTTTAATTCCAACCCTCGCCTGTCTCTCTTGTGAATTGTTGCGTAGCTGTAGATGCAGTCGTGGGATTCAATGAGTGGCTTCAATTAGATTTTAAAGCACAACCTATTTTTTTGCTTTTGAAACACAACTCATTGTTTGCTTTTGCCAACAGCTACAACTCCATACGCAAGAGAGATAGACCGGGGGTTTGAACCAGAGTAAACAAAAATAGAATATGAATTGTTTTAGCTAGCAATTTGGATACAAAGAATTATGTCAAAAATAAAATGTCTATATTGCCCTTCAATTTAACATTTGTTTCGACGAAATAGGTGAAAATGACAATTTTCATTTAACAAAGTGAGACAAAATCAAATTTAAACGGTAAAAAGTGAGACTAATGGCAGTTTTTGAAACCGCCAATTCTTCTTTATTTGCTGCCTTCAATGGACGATTTAACTTTCCAACTTTAAAAAACGTTCATGTCAGTAAATAACTGACTTTCTCTTTTTCCCATTTAAAGCGATCTCATGACTTTCCTTCTTGGGACATCCGATCAAATGGGATCCCATGACTCCCAAACTGCACCTTCACACGTTTGCCATTTTCTATATTTTACCACATTTATGTTTCCTGCAAGCAACATTTTCATCTTTCGGAAATAACAGTCTCCCAATCTCTCATATTAAAAGAGAAATTACTCTACATGATTACATACATGTATACAGCTTGTGTTTGTCTCAAAAACTGACAATCCGTTTTTTATGTCGATATCGTTGCAGTTTACAAATTATATCGACGATATTAGTAACGTTGTTAATGATAACATAAGTGACTCGATTACTGTTTTACCGACAAAACTCCGATAGACCCACACCAATTTATTGCAAATTTATGCAGTGACAGGGATGCATCCTATTTTTTTTGTCTGAAACACTCTTTAACTCCTTGTCCCAAAAAGGCGACAAACAGAAACTTGCTAATCATGCTTTCAGATATTTTCATTTCCTCTCTCATTCATTTGGGTTTGGCATTTGCATTGCCTGTCATGGACTGCAACTTCACAACCACCAAAAGCTGCCAACCTTCCTTCCTTTAATTCTCTTCCTCCTCCTCCAACGGTTACCTTCCCCTTCCTCCCATTCAATGTCCCTCTAACGGCTCTCTCTCCCTCTCTCTCTCTAACCCTCCATTTTCTCTCGTTTTATTTCCATTCCTATCTGATTTTCCACCACTACTTCTGTGCATCAGTGCATGCTCTCTCGCTAGAACTTTCACTCCAAAGTGCTTTAGAGAGAGAAAAAGCTTGAATCTTTGGGAATTTAGAGAAAACCCCAGATGGATCTCACTTCCTTCTTGACGTCCTTGGGGACTGACTTCCTCATATTTGTGGCTCTGATGTTTTTGTTCGCATGGCTTTCGAGAAAGCCTGGAAACACTGTGATTTACTATCCGAATCGGATCTTGAGAGGGTTGGATCCATGGGAGGGCGGGTCCATGACGCGGAACCCGTTTGCTTGGATCAAGGAGGCTCTGTCTTCCACTGAGCAGGAAGTTATATCCATGTCAGGGGTCGACACTGCTGTGTACTTCGTGTTCTTGAGCACTGGTTTGTTTGTCTCGCTGTCCTTTTAGCCTTTTGACCGTTCTCGAATTTACTTTTTGGCATTTTTGTCTCTTTTGTTGTTTACCATGTTACTGTTTCTGGGGTTTGTTCTGTTTGCTGAAAAGTTTGAAACTGGTTGAGCTTTGTTGTTGTTTTTGCTGGATGGTCTGATTTGGAAGTCTACTCTCAGATCTCTAAGTTTTTTACTGCTGTAAATTTGGATGGTTGGAGTTTGTTGAGATTGGATTGGAAAAGTTAATTTCTTTCGAGCTTTGAGAAGTGAAATTCTGGAGATTTTAGGATGATTTCGACGTTTCGAATAATACTTATTTGAACGAGGAGTGTGTTACCAGTTTTACTTGTTGTGATGATCTTGTTTCCTTGTTCTGGTATAACAGTATGCAATGCTTGACCTACTTTATAAAGTCAGAAAACTCGAGGTTCTAACTTTCCTATTTGATGTGGCAGTGTTGGGTATATTGGTTTTGTCTAGCCTTGTTCTGCTACCAATCCTTCTGCCAGTTGCTGCCACCGAAGTCGGGCAGAAGTTAGCCAACGCAACCATAAGCAATGGCACTTTCAGTGACCTTGACAAGTTATCCATGGGACATCTCAAGGTAAGCTGTGAAACACTTTCATGAAATGTCTTGGTTTTGTTCTTTTTTTCCCATGGATCTGTGGCAGCCGCGGTTTTTCGTATAATCCTCTCAATTGAATTGTCTTCTGAGTGCTGAGTGCTGATTGCGTTTGTGTTTTCTTTCTGTATGTACAGCTGAAGAGTCCTAGGTTGTGGGCATTTCTCTTCGGTGTCTACTGGGTTTCTTTCGTCACATATTTCTTGCTGTGGAAGGCATATAAACATGTCTCCGACCTGAGAGCCACTGCTTTAATGTCTCCTCAAGCGAAGCCTGAACAATTTGCCATTCTTGTCAGAGACATACCTAACTCCCGCGAAGGTCAAATTAGGAAGGAACAGGTCGATTCTTATTTTAAGACCGTCTACCCTGATACATTTTACAGATCATTGGTTGTCACAGACAACAAAGAGGTACGGTTGTGTTTTCGCCCATTTCTCCTCATTTTGTGCCTTTGCTAACTGTTAACGTATAGAGGGAATCGTTGTTTAGGTAATGTGACTGTTTGACGGCGTGTTTCTTTTCTTATAGGTGGACAAAATTTGGGAAGAGTTAGAAGGGTTTAAGAAGAAGCTTGTACGCGCTGAAGCAGTCTATGCATTATCGAAGAAAACTGGCAACTCAGAAGGAATAAGACCCACTAACAAAACCGGTTTCCTTGGTCTTTGTGGGGCAAAAGTAGACAGTATTGAGTACTACACCGAGAAGATTAATGAATTAACCCCGAAACTGGAGGCTGAACAGAAAGCCACTCTCAGAGAGAAGCAGCAAAATGCCGCTCTCGTTTTTTTCACCAGTAGGGTGACTGCAGCTGCTGCAGCTCAGAGTCTACATGCCCAACTTGTTGACACATGGACAGTGATCGATGCTCCTGAGCCTCGTCAAGTACTTTGGCCTAATCTCAAAATCAAGTTTTTTCAGAGACAGGTGCGGCAGTATGTTGTGTATATCATTGTGGCTCTGACCGTAGTGTTTTATATGATTCCAATTGCTGCTATCTCTGCTTTCACAACTCTGGACAATCTGAAGAAACTTCTTCCATTTCTAAAGCCAATTTTGAAGCAAGAAGCGATTACGACAGTGCTGGAGGCTTATCTACCTCAAATTGCACTCATAGTCTTTCTAGCTCTGTTGCCAAAGTTCCTTCTGTTTTTGTCCAAGGCCGAGGGAATTCCTTCCCAGAGCCATGCAATAAGGGCTGCTTCCGGGAAATACTTCTACTTCACTATCTTCAATGTTTTTCTTGGAATTACGGTAGGTGGAACCTTATTCAGTACATTCAAGACCATCGAGAAGGATCCTAACTCTCTTGTTGACATACTCGCAAGTAGCCTCCCCTCCAATGCAACTTACTTCCTCACCTTTGTGGCCCTAAAGTAAGTAACAGTTTGCGTCTTCTAGCTCTTCGTTTCCTATCAAGAACCGAAACAAGTTTGCAAAATACTTTACCGTTTGTCCACACCATCTAAATCATGTCTTTACTATTGAACTGATTTTTGTGATACACGTTGATGACAGGTTTTTCGTTGGATATGGTCTTGAACTGTCCCGACTAGTTCCTCTGATCATTTTCCATATAAAGAGGAAGTACCTTTGTAAGACCGAAGCTGAGGTGAAAGCAGCTTGGCTTCCCAGTGATCTTGGATACGGGACTAGAGTACCTAATGATCTGCTCGTCATTACGATTGTCCTCTGCTACTCTGTCATTGCTCCACTGATTCTTCCATTTGGTGTACTGTACTTTGGCCTTGGATGGCTTATCCTTCGAAATCAGGTATCCTCCAGTCTTTTTCGAGCCTGCCAGTTTCTGGTCGAAAAACTTTACCGACTCAAAGTAAGCATATGCGACCGAAAACTAAAGCTTTTGTTGTTTCATTGAGCAGGCACTCAAAGTTTATATTCCAGCGTACGAAAGCTATGGAAGGATGTGGCCGCACATGCAAATACGAATCATTGCATCTCTGATATTGTACCAAGTTACCATGTTTGGTTACTTTGGGGTGAAGAGATTCTACTACGCACCATTCTTAATTCCACTTCCTATCATGTCCTTGATTTTTAGTTTCATCTGCAGCAAGAAATTCTACCGGTTTTTCCAACACACCGCGCTTGAAGTAGCTGCACACGAACTCAAGGAAATTCCAAACATGGAGCAAGTTTACAGAGCTTTCATCCCGCCAAGCCTGAGCTCCGAGAAGATAGACGATGATCAATATGAAGATGCTCAATCTAGTGTTTCGAGAACAGCCTCGTTCGCCTAGTGTGTGACAGTCTTGTGCAGTTAGAAGTAATTTAGTTTGGGTTTGGAGTGTCATCTGTTTATATAACATGTGATTAGGAACATTGCAGATCTGTATGCACTGCAGATGATCCATCTCGTCCTTTGGATTTCATGAATTAATCTGTTAAATTGTTGTTTCCTATTTATTTACCACTCTGCAAACTATGCTCTTTCTTGTTTATTAATGCAATGTTGCTTCCAATTGATTTACTTTTTATTTATCTACCTCGTGTTACTCTTTCTCTCCGATTTAACGATTCTCCTCCTCTTCTATCGCTTCCTTTTTCGCATCTCTTTTCAACCCAAAATCCCAAAATCCCAAAATTTCCTACTCTCACTACAACTTAATTGTTTTCATTAAGTCATTAGAAAGGCATAAAATTTAGTGGAAGAATCGGACTCAAGTTGTTGTTTGTGTTTTCATACATTTTTCAAACAAATTTGGAGCTTTGATGTTGGCTAAAATTTAATTGAAATAAAAAAAAAAAAGTTAAATCTGATAAATAATCCCCAATTTAGAGTCCGCAGGTACCTTACTTGGTACCACATGAGGCAACAACGTACTTTAATTCTGAATTAAACGGTACGCCAAAGCAGAGCTGGTGACCCTAAAAAGTAAATCCGTGAAAGTTCACACTTGAATTGGAACTCCAATGGAGAGGATTCGCATCCCACTAACCAATTATTTGTTTTGATAGAAAATTACTGAGAAAAATAAAAAAGATAAAAAAAAAAACCCAAGGGGAGAAAACCAAATGTAATTTGAAAATAAAAGTAAAAGCAAGGAGGACTCAGAAAATTGCTCTCCTCCAAGTTCATAACTTCGTAGTTCTCAGTTGGCGCCTCAGACCAAAAACCCCAAAACCCTCCCATGAAACATTTCAAATCCCCTCCCTTTGTCTGAACCTCCAAAAACCCACCTGAAACCCTCCGCCAACTAATCAATGCCGCCCCCAGCTTCGGCGACGCCGCCGGAGACGGTGCTCCACAACCGCTTCTTAGGGTTCCTCATATGGCAATCCATCCCCTCCACCGTCATCTTCTTCCTCTTCAAAATCCTCTCATCAGCCGTCTCCTCCGCTTCCCCCTCCTCCGCCAAGCCCCCATTCACATTCCCCTTCGCCCCATCGATCTTCGCCCTTTTTACGTTTTTTACCTTCCACCTGTCCCAGCTCCTCTTCTCCTTCGCACTCTCCCTCGTGTCCTCGCCCCACCCCCACCGCCCCGCCTCTCTTCTCCAGCTCGTTCTCGGGCTCGTTCGCTTCCTTTTTGTACCGGGCGGCTCCGATTCGTCGGAGACGGCCGATTCCCGTGCCCGGGCTAAGCTTTCGGTGGGTTTCCTGATGTTTTTGGGCGCGGCGGCGGTGTCGGGGTTTGTTTCGGTGGCGTCGTTGTGTGGGGGGTTTGGCGATGGGGTTTCTGCGATTGGGAGAGTGGGGTTTAGGGGTTTTGTGATGGGTTTGCTTTATGGGCTGTACTATGTGTATAATCGCAGGTGGGTCTTGGAGTTTCCCATTATTCAGGTCAGTTTTTGGCTACCTTTATACAAAGTTTGAATCTTTCTCTGTGTAATTTGATGTTACTTGATGTGTACTGTGTTAGCAAAAGAGAAATGCATTGCTGAAATATGTAGGAGCCTACAAATGAAGGAAACCCCTAGTCAATTGATTGAAAATACAGTTTTTGCTTTTACGCACTAGTGTTCAATCATATTTCGATAGATTATGTTCTACCCTAGACATCTAGGCTGGTTATGGTAGTCAGATGTTTCTGAAATGCAGAGCTCAAAGGTGGTGAAAAGAAAAGAAAAAGAAACTATCGAAGTTTTCCTATAAGTTTTAAATCGTGTCACTAGCGTTGTTGAAGTATGATGAATCCCTGTCTGTCATTGTGTCCTCGGAGCTCTCTGGTTTTTAAATTTATAGTGTGTATGGTGTGAGCAGGGCGTGTGTACGTGTGTGTATAGAATTCTTCTTTTTTGTTTAGGAGATCCGATCACCACGGTGGGTTAATTGTTCATCATAATTCTTGTTATCTTGAATCAGGGTCCTGGCCTAATTCTCTCTACTTCTTTTTTGCTGGTTTGCAATACATTGCTTGTGTAAGAAATTGTTGGCCTTGTTTGGATATTCTCATGTTGCCTTTTGCTTTCTGCTTACACAAATCATGGCTCTGACTCTGACTCTAATTGTTTATGTCAACAGCGTCCTCCTTTTTTCAGCTTCAAAATGGGGCTTCCTTCAGCTATCACACGATCCTTGCAGCTTTCCTTTGTTGCGTACCTGTTTTCAGCTGCACTGCTAGTGTTTCTGCCCCACCACATTCAGAACCAGACTACAACTGGAAAGTTTATTGCCAAGCAGATCAGGTTCTACATTGGGAGTTTCTTAGTGTTTCTCTGCTGGGAACTAAGTCACCATTTACATCGGGTTGGTTCTTTAAACATATTAACATGGTTGTTAATTTTCATTTTTGTTAACACTACTGCATGTTGTTGAAAGAAGCATTGCATTAGCAGATCAACTAAAATACCTATTTTTTTTTTTTTTTTTTTGAGAAGAAACAATTTTATTAAAGAATAGAGAAAAACACAGAAGTGGATAAGAAGTCCACCAACAAATTAGAAAGGAAAATCCTAATAATAGGAATTGGCTACATTAGCCAATTCTAGACCAAGCTCACTTAACTGCTGCTAACAAATCCCACAGTATTTGAGATAGAGAGCAATTATTAAACTCTTTAGTAACCGAAGCCCAAAAAGATGCCCAATATTTAACTCTCCCCCAAAGTACTTCTGCCCCCACTCCAGTATAGTCTTCAAAAATCCTTTGTTGCGTTCCAGCCATATATTCCAGAAAATTGCCGATACCAGGCAACCCCACAAAGCTTTGGATTTTTTCCCTTTTCCAAGTGCCTTGAAATTGGTGCTTAGTAGCTCAAAACACCCTTTAGGAATGACCCAACTTACTTTAACCTCCTGAAACAGTTTCCACCACAGTTGTATCGAGTAGGAGCAATGAAGAAAGATGTGATTTACACTCTCCTCCTTAGCTTTACATAAACTACACCAATGTGGGGATAAACACATCATAGGGTTTCTCCTTTGAATTTTGTCGCAAGTGTTGAGACTCCCATTGGCCACAAGCCATACAAGTATTTTAACCTTCGGAGGAACTTTTGATTTCCAAATCTGAGAGTAGGGTGGATAATAGTGCACAATCCCATTGTTGCTCAGTAATGACCGATAGGATTTGCATGTGAACAAACCTGAAGTTTCTAGGTTCCACCTTCTGTTATCCATTTTTGATGGAGACAAGCGAACCACTTCCACTTTTCTGTAATAAGCTGGCCGCCTCTTCTATCTCCATCTCATTCAGATTTCTCCTAAAATCAAAGTTCCAACTCAAGGAACTTGACGAAGCTTCCACAAAGCTAGATATGTTATGATTATGCTTCCTCGATAATAAGAATAATCTGGGGAATTGCTCCTTCAGCGGTCCCCCTACTAACCACCCATCCTCCCAAAACCTAACCCTCTCTCCATTGCCCACCTCAAACTTGCAACAACTAAGAAACTGATGAGCACCACTCGAAATGTCTTTCCATGGGCTACGACTTGAAACCCTCCTTGGAGGAAGTACATTCCATCCATTAACTTGTAGCCCATACTTGCTTCTTATCACCTTGTCCCATAAGGAATGAGACTCCCTTGGGAATCTCCACAACCACTTAGCCAATAGTGCTTCGTTCTGATTCCTCAAATTCCCCACCCCTAGACCTCCTTCCTCCTTGTTTTTAGTAACTAACTCCCATTTGACCAAATGGGTTTTCTTACCTTCCTCCACGCCTTCCCAGAGAAACCCTTTCATTAATTTTTGTAGACGTCTTCTTACCCCACAGGGAATTTTGAACAATGACATATAGTAAATCGGCAAGCTTCCCAAGACTGATTGAATTAGAGTTAATCTACCTCCTCTGGATAGGAAAGCCTTCTTCCAACTTTGAAGTCTTCTTTCCATTGTTTCTACCACTGGATCCCAAAACCTTATAGCTTTTGGCCTTCCCCCAAGGTGAAGTCCCAGATACTTTATAGGCCAACATCCTACCTCGCAACCCCAAGAATCTGCCATCCTGTTTAATTTCTCACTTTCTGAATTTATTCCTGCCAAAAAGCACTTCGCTTTGTTGATTTTCAGTCCTGTGACCGAACAGAATAAGTTGAGCACTTGTAATAGGTTGTTCCAAACTTCCTCATCTTCCGTCAAAAAGAATATGGTGTCGTCTGCTAATTGAAGATGAGAGATCTCCACCTTTTCTTGCCCGATACACAAACCTTTGATGAGATCATTTTCTTGAGCCTTCTCTATTAACCTGCTCAAAACATCGACTACTAAGGTGAAGAGAAAGGGTGATAGTGGGTCACCTTGTCTTAGTCCTCTTGAAGCTTGAAATTTTCCCCTGGGCCTCCCATTGATCAAAACAGAAAAATTTGCAGAGCATAAACATCCTTGCATCCATTTCCTCCATCTATTGCCAAAACCTTTTCTTTGTAGTACTTCTTCCAGAAATCTCCATTCAACATGATCATACGCTTTTTCAAAGTCGATCTTGAGCACCAATCCCTTCTCTTTTTTCTGCCTTATCTCTTCTACCACTTCATTTGCAATGAGGACTGCATCCAAAATTTGTCGATCCTTAACAAACGCCCCCTGATGTGGGGAGACAGTGGTAACCAAAACCTCCTTCAATCTTGAAGCCAGTGTTTTCGCTATGATTTTATACAATCCAGTTACTAAGCTGATGGGCCTATAGTCCGTCACCTTCAAAGAATCTGACTTCTTTGGGATTAGGCAAATGAATGTTTCGTTCGTCACTGCATTTATTATCCCTTTCTCAAAGAATTCCTCCATGATCTTCATTATATCTTCCTTCAAAATATCCCAGCAATGTTGGAACATTTGCATAGAGAAGCCATCTGGTCCTGGTGACTTGTCCTTTCCACAATCGAAAACTGCTCTTTGAACTTCTGCTTCCTCAAAAGGCCTCTCAAGCCAAATTGCCTCAAGGGCGCTTATTGGGGCCCAATTTATACCTTCTAAACCACAACATGCCTCGTCGTTACTGCTAAATAAGGATTTGAAAAAATTTACAATATGCTCTTCAATCTCCTTTGCATCCTCTATTAATCCCCCTCCAATCGGCTCCAACCT